CGTGCGTGCGTGCGTGCGTGTGTGCGTGCGTGCTGGTTGATTTGTATTTTGCTGTTGCCATCATCTGCCCAGGGACAACAGATGGAACTTAGCTAGCTAGCTAAATCTGGTACAAAGCATCTCTTCTCTTCTGAGACTAAGTTTTTTTTTGTACACTGACCCTGATTCAAATAAACGGTTAAATAAATAATGCACTGTTATCACAAAGCTGGATAATGTGCTCATTTTCAGTTAATAGAATAAGTACACATCACATTATTTACTGTCTCCAGCATTTTATCTTGCCCGTGTTATTACATTTAACATGAACAGCAGCACTATTGAACAGTTCTCTTTTTGAAATGTAATGTGAATTGGATAGCAGCTTGAAATGTCTTACAATACAAAATCCCTAGGTCAACTAATGCTGCATGATATTGGGGAAACTGCGTTTTCTTTTCATGTTCATACTATTACAATTTTTATTATTATTTGGGTCTTCAAGTTTATTTTCTTTTACAAATAAGAACCCCTTATACATTCAAAGCTACATTTAATTTGCATCAAGAGCCCTGTGACATTAACTTCTAAGCAAAGAACACTTCATCTTCATACACTGCATGTGATCCCTTCTCTCTCTCTCCCTCTACACTTTATGTGCTCATGGACTAACACACGTCCTGGGATATTACCATGGCACTTGTACACATAGCAAAATTAATGCTTAGATCATACCATGCAGCCCTACAGTCAAACGCATTTACACTAAGTTGGTGCAGTTTTTTGAGTGAATAAGAATTGAATTCCAAGTTTCTTATATTGTCAACTTAAAATGCAAAAAAACTTGAATCTATATCCTTTTCCACTGTTGTAATTTTTTTCTGATTCCTTCTTTCGTCTCACTTTTTTTGTAAAATCTTCAGTTTTGCTGATTCTTTGATTTGTAAGATGTTGCAGAGTTTGTTATGGCACACATTTTACTCTCGACCTTCTTTTTAGGTCGTTAACATGGACTACGGCATGAAAGACGAGAACAGCAAAAATGTCAGAACTAATTATTGATTAAAACAATTTTTTTATCGCAATCATTCAATATTTCTTCTGTTTATTATTTGTAAGGCAGCTAGTGTCTCCATAACTCTCAAATTAAAGCTGCTGTCATTCTTTACAGGCATCCAGGATTGGCACAACGTGCTTTTCTGAGCAGCTGATCAGGGTCTTCTGTAAGAAGACTGATAGAAAGAGTGTGAAGGCTGCAAAAAAGCACTTTGAACAGTGGTACAATGATTTTCCAATCCTTAGATAATAGTTGAATATTAAGATGTTAAAGGATACAATATGAACTAACTTGCTGTTGATTAAACATAAAACCAGTTGACTTGGCTGAAGTAAATAGAAAACAGTCCACATTGAGTACAGTTTATTTAATATGGTTGAACATGTGATCTACAATCTGCTGAGTGTGGAAAACATTAGCTGTGCTAGCATCCTCAGCCTTCGGTCTTCCTTTCAGGTTAACATATGCTTACCTGTGCTGGTGAAGCTCTACTCTAATAGATTTGATACTTTAACTTAACAAAATACTGCCAAAGTGAGCAACACTCCAACATGTTATTGGTCCTTTGTCCTGGTTTGCATCCAGGTTAGACAGCAAGTCTAGACAGTCAGTCAGGTTTCTGTACTGAAACAATTTTACTGACCTGTATTGGAACCGTGCAGGACTCTGGTTTGGGGCCCTCAGGTTAAGAGAGGTAAGCAACAGCAGCATGGGAGTGAAACCAAAAGATTAACCAACCCTCTGGTTTCTTCAACTTTCACTCAGAAGCAAAAATCAGCTTTTAAATTTGAAAATTTGAAAGTAAAAATGATTGATAATTATGTGATAATTATATCGACTGATATGACATTTTGATAACATTTTTTTAGCCCAGGCCTATAAGCTACGGGTCTTATTGTGAATAACGTGTATCCTTCATTAAAAGAAAAACGGACATGAAAAAAAAAATCCCTCTTCATACAGTGTGTGCTGATTGAGACATGAGATAATCAGACCAATTTGGTTTTTTGAATCGGGCTGTAAACATGTTTATTTCTGCTGTAAAAATTGGCTTTTTTGAATGAGTGTGTATGTGACATATTAATATATGCAGTTAGTGGTTTTATTACATTGAAAGGCTGTTTTAATATATGAGCATTAGAATGGAACAATGAGCAGGGAGGGAATGATTGCATAGTGAAACAAAACTTCAGGATTCTTTTTTTTTGCATATATATGATTTTGATCTTTTTTTGATGCTAAATTAGCATTGGTGTCTTCAAACTTTTGTATTTTCCTACCAACGGACAAAAACTTTGAAATAATGTATTTTATTACTTGAGATTTAAAAAAACTGAAAGTTCTCAGCAGTGAGATGTTGGATCTGCATGATGAGTACATTGTTTTGATTTAAAATAAGTTGAATGTTGGATTGTTTGTTAAATAGAATCATTTCTTCTTCAGTTTATCTCTCACTAGATTTACTCTGCACTGCTTTCTTTAAACAGATGTACTTTTGTGTCTTTATTAACATGCAGGAAGTTCGAGAAGAAGCCGCATCTGCTTGGACCTGAGGGTAATTAAAAGACCATGGAAATGACTCAACAACATGAATAACACAGAATTATTTCTTATTCAGACTCAGGACTCTTTCTAGCTTTTATCATATACATGTTGTATTGTTGTTTTAAATTGTTGACTCCCTTCTGCATCTGCATAAGTTCCAACAACATACAACATGATTTTATTGAGGACAAAGATAAATCATAACATATAATAATATAAACTGATACATAGACACACATGACACTGGATACATTACTTACACAGCTAGCAGCTGTATGGCTGTTGAATACCATTTAGGTAAAGAAAGCCATTATTGAAATCCAACAATCATTGTCTCAAACTGAATATATAAACTGCATGTTTCTGAATTGATTCAGCTTTTGGTCACATTTATGCTTCTTTGTAGGTTGTGAATTCTTTTTGGTCGGGGAAAGATGTAAAGCACTCCCAACATGTGTAATGGAGTGAATATTTCACTTGTGGTTTTATTTAGGGATTTATAATACTCAGTGGTGTTTTAGTTTTGATGTTAATCGTTTGAAGATTGAGGACATGAGATTAGATTATTTGTCTTTGAGTGGTGTTTAATGAGAGATGATCATGAGTGATGTTTTGGTGACTGGTATTATCTTATATTACTTTGTATCTGCAGCATTTATTATCACAATACAATTTTAATCTGTTTTAAAATGAGTCTTATTTTGGGCATGTTTTATAATGTGCTCTTCTTTTGAGTTTATGATTCTTACTTTCAAAACTGGAACTTGTGAAAACCTTTATTTGCATCTAAAAACTTGAAATTCGAATTGAAAAATATCTTTTAAACGTATCCATCAACTACCTTTCTTCAATGGATGATGAATGTGTTTAAATGTATGACACACTTTAAGTGAAGCTATAATTGTTTGACGATTGGTTCTTACATAAAGCATCTATGAGAACCTTTCAAGTGTATTCCTGTTGTGATGGGTTCATATCTGATAAAATCTGCATGTATTCAAAATAAACATCAGAGAAAATCCTGAGTTCAACATTGTGTAATCTATCAAACCATATGCATCTATATATATATATATGTATATATATACTGTATATATCACCTGTGGTACAAATCTAATTGCAGTTCAAAGTCCTTTACAAAGGAGCGGAAAAATGACTGACAAAAGGTAGTTTGTAAAATATAACAGCAATAAGACATGAAATCAGCACAATGATTAATAAATATAAATACTAAAAACCTAAAATCAAACACTAAAATGTAAATTTAAAAGTAGAGATGAATAATATTGATTAAAATATAGTAAATTAAAAGCCTTAAAATGATTAAGTCATATAGAAAAGCCAGACTGAATAAATGAGTTTTTTAAATTGTTTTTAAAAATCTCAATATTCTCTGATCCTCTGAAGTCTGTTCCAAAGTCTCAGAGCAGCTAGGGTTTTTGTTCTGCTCTGTGGAACAACTAAAAGAAGAACCATAGAAGAACAAGAAGACCTGAGGGGTCGTCCTGGTTCATAAACTAAAATCAACTCTGAAAAGTTAATCTGGTGGGAGGCCAAGTGCTTTAGACAATAATAAAATCAATATGAAGACAAAGAGGCAGCCAGTGTCAAGACTTTCAACGATAGATAAAATAGTTTAATGGGAGTTGTGTGTGTAATTGGCAAAGTCATTAACATTCATTCATTCAATCAAATTCATTTAATCTGTTCTTTAGATGTATGTTTACTGCCCTCACATGCTTCACAGGTTGAGTTAATGTCGACATTGCCTATTTAAACACATCATGTTAAGTTTATTTGTCGGACACAGTAATCATCAACTTACATCATTTGCTCATTTGCATCAACAGAAACAGTGTGTGGAGTTTGGATCACATGCTTTCTATCTGACTTAAGCAGAGTTCAGTTGAGATTATGGAATGTTATGAGAAAAAAAATAGGGTAATTAATGAATAAAAAACAAATAAAATGAAAAAAATGTAGCATCATTTATGGAGGTTCACATTGGTAACTCCTCATGCACAGAAAAAAATAGATGGCTAAATCTAGATCCAATGTGTTACACTGACCTGCTAAAGAGAACAACGGAAACCTTGATGTGAGTGGAAAATGGACTTTTCACCTTACTTCATTCTTATTTTGTTGATATATTACGCATTATTTCCAATACAACACATGTATTAATGATAGTTTAAAAAACAATTTTAAAAACTTAATTGAAATTATTCTGATTGGATTGACAATATTTATCAAGATCTGTAATATTTCCTATTTGTCATCAGCTAAAATCATTCACAACATCTACAAAGAGGATCAACTTTTGAAACAGCATCAGATCCTGTGTACAAACATGTGAACTCAGAGTTTGCGTTCCTTTGTCCTTACGTTAGGTTCATTTGCTTTATGTTGATTTGTGGGGTTTTTTTACGACTGATTTGTGATTTTGTGAATATGGCAAAATAAGTAGCATAAAAAAGTACCAGATATTACAGTTTTAGTACATCATTGACTTCATCAAATCAATAGTTATACTAACATGAGGTGACATTTGTCATTTAAGTTTGATCTGTGTTGCTGCACAGAGAATCAGTTTGACTTTGACATCCTTCTTTCAGTTTAAAACAAAACTAAAGCCTCGGCAGAAATTAGATGATAAAAATGGATATTTATAAGCCCTATAAAGATACCTGACCTGGGAATAAAGTCATATCTTTGTGATGAAATTAAGAAAACCAACTCTTTATGGAAGTAAGATAACAAAGTGAGATATGTTAACATAGATATTATCTTCAAACAACTTTCTATGTCTGCAATCAGAAGTAATCTCACAAGAAAAGGTAGGAGATGTCACATTGATAAAATCACATCTGCAATGTGCTCATTCTGGATGTTACTGGAGGTCATATATTATAGTCTCATCTTTTATTTTTGGATAGAAGACAAATTCATACCAAAAAACATCCACTAAATATAAAACTACTGCAGATGTTCACCTCCTTTACATGCTGGACCTTTTCGTCATCATAGAATAAAATAATATTTTACAGTCTGAGGGTTTCTTATGTTTCCTTTCAGTGTACAAAAAAAAGATCAGTACCTGTTTAAACTTTCTCCAGCAGAGCATTCATTTCATCAAATGGTGAGAGCACACCAAACCATGGAGAGTTGAGCAACACTGCCATCTTGTGGCCATTTGATTTATTTGCAGTTCTCACATAGAGTATAGGTGTAAATCTATCTACAGAGCAGTAACACATGCAACATTTTTCACACTACCTCTTGTTGCTCCTTAAAGGCTTCATATGCAATTTTTTGATCCAGAAGATGTCGCCCTTGATCACCAGCATGAAACCAAAACAACTTGTGCTGCATTGTTGTGTTAGCATGCTAATGCTAGCAATCTTTATCATGCTCGTATCTTCACACTGCATGTAAATTTACCTGAAATGACCGTGATCTAGAAACGCTTACGTGACATTTAATTAAGCAGTGAGTACAGAATGTTATTCTCTTTTCTCTAGTCCCTCAATTAAACAACTTTTATACACGAGGGGATGAGCTGGCCGGCCGTCCCGGCGATGTAAAAAAAACTGAAGATAGGACTTGGAAAACTCGGAAAGCATCACAGACAGTGGGACTCCGGTGTTACACCCATTGTAGACAGTCATGACTCACAGAGTTATTTTCAGAGGATATCCTTGATTTCTATTGCATTTAAGTGTGAAAAATTGCATATTAAGCCTTTAATAAGCTGGTTTACAACTACTGTTGGCTAACAAACACAGGTTTAGTCAATAAGAAGTGATGACACTCTGAACATGCATGTACTTTTTAATCTCTTTAGTTGGTTTCACATTTATTTTTGTGAGGATTGTAAAAAATCTGCTATTTTAAAAGTGTTTCATGCAGGATTATTTGATGTTTCATATAGTTTATAGTTCATTTTTTCTTTGGTATTCTCAAGTCGAGTGATGGATTCAGGTTGGATTACAAACAAAATGTTCTTAAAATTTGTATAACATTTTTCCAACTTTAAAAAAAATGTCTCACTTGAATTGCTAAATCATACAGTGACTAACAGATGAAGTAGAAATGAAGTTATTATAAAAATAGAACGATTTTAAGTGCATTAAATTATCTACAACATGAAATATTTAATCAAAGCAACTATGAGGAAATTCCAATTTCTGTCAGAAATTTAAAATTCAGAGTGCATTCATGGATTTATATTTTAGGTGTGCACTAAGAAAAGTGTACTCCTATGCACTTGAATATGTGTGCTAATGTGGGCTCCATGCATAGCTTGTATGCATGCATGCATATCTTTGTGTTTTGGTCTTAGTATTGTGAAGCCACGACTTAACTTTTATTTTCATCATTTTCTTTATTGCAACTGCTGGTTTCAGAGTGAAGGTTTCACCTGTTTATGACAGATGTCAGTGAATGAACTTTCTTCATTCCAACATTAGGAGGATTGTTGTTCTGTAACAATGGAGATGTGAGGCTGATCATTAGAAATGTAATTATGGGGAAACTTTGATCACATAAGAGCTAGGAGTGTTCTTTACTGCTGCTCTTTGTTTTTAAAGGACAGGTGTGTCCAATGTTTCTTTTATTGTGTTCTGTCAGGTGTCTAATGATTCCAATAGTTTCAGGTTGAACTTGTTTACCTTCAGCTTTCTGCTTACAATGCTCCTCTCCAATGTTTAGAGCTGCTAAGAGCACGTTTTACAACAAACATTAAGTAAAAAAACAAAACACCTAACCACTGAGAGAATGGGCAGCCTGGAGAGATACATTAAAATAAACTAGTGATATAAGTTTAAAGGTATACTTCACCCATTTGCATTAAGCTTTGTATCATTAGAAACCTGGTAGTATTTTTGAATGGTTGTGCATCCCGCCCTCATTTTCCCCTGAGATGGGAAATCTTTGTATTTCTAAGTCTGAGAAGGAGCTTCCAGTGACGCAAAATGACGATTTTTGCGTCACTGGAAGCTGTTGCGGTTAGCGGGGTTAAACTACAACGCTAGTTCCTCATATTTTCAACCACTGAAGCTGCAGACCAATCACAGATCAGTGGGTGGGAACTCGCTCCCAGAATCGAAACTTAACGTCCGCCATATTGCTTGGAAGCTATGCTAACAGGCTCTATGAAGAAAGCTGATAATGGCGAAAAAATATAAATATAGCGGCGAGACGGCTGCTGCTGACAGGCCGATCTTGTGTCGAGGCTGCTGCGCCCGCCGGACGCTGGCCGCCGTGCGCTGGCCGCCGGGCACTGTTTCAAATTTATTTTGTAGGGATTGTAAAAAAGCTCCTATTTTAAAAGTGTTTCATGCAGGATTATTTGATGTTTCATATAGTTTATAGTTTTTTTCTTTGGTATTCTCAAGTTGAGTGATGGATTCAGGTTGGATTACAAACAAAATGTTTTTAAAATTTGTATAACATTTTTCCAACTTTTAAAAAAATTTCTCACTTGAATTGCTAAATCATACAGTGACTAACAGATGAAGTAGAAATGAAGTTATTATAAAAATAGAACGATTGTATGTGCATTAAATTATCTACAACATGAAATATTTAATCAAAGCAACTATGAGGAAATTCCAATTTCTGTCAGAAATCTAAAATTCAGAATGCATTCATGGATTTATATTTTAGGTGTGCACTAAGAAAAGTGTACTCCTATGCACTTGAATATGTGTGCTAATGTGGGCTCCATGCATAGCTTGTATGCATGCATGCATATCTTTGTGTTTTGGTCTTAGTATTGTGAAGCCACGACTTAACTTTTATTTTCATCATTTTCTTTATTGCAACTGCTGGTTTCAGAGTGAAGGTTTCACCTGTTTATGACAGATGTCAGTGAATGAACTTTCTTCATTCCAACATTAGGAGGATTGTTGTTCTGTAACAATGGAGATGTGAGACTGATCATTAGAAATGTAATTATGGGGAAACTTTGATCACATAAGAGCTAGGAGTGTTCTTTACTGCTGCTCTTTGTTTTTAAAGGACAGGTGTG